TCGGATAGATAGATAGATAGATAGATAGATAGATAGATAGATAGATAGATAGATAGATAGATAGATAGATAGATAGATAGATAGACAGATAGATAGCCCATCTTTCTTGTTAGAATAGAGAGATAAATAGATAGGTAAACGGATAAAGAAAGATGAAACAATATTCAAACACGAGTATCATTGTCTATGGATTCATTCTAATCTGTTCTCGTTCAGTGTCAAACACTCGTACACATGACCTTCTCACCACTCAAACTAAATCCTCCCGACCCGCCCTTACACTAGCGAGCTCTCCCATCACCCAAACCATCGCTATCATTTTCACTTCCCCTTCTCGTTACCCTACTACTATTCCACGTCTTTTTTTTTTCAAACCATCTCTATGCTCCTTGCCCCCTTGTTCCAAAATAAAGAAAATGGAAAAGAAAAAAGAAAAAACCGACAAAATTATACGGGGTTGTGTCCCTTCCATTTGCTGGGACATTCCCGCGACATTCTTGTGCGGATCTTTTACCTGCGAAGAGCGATACACAGCGTCCCTCCCCTTTGATTGACTGTATAAGGTTTCTTTAGAGTGCCACTGGTAGGGATTATACACGCTGTAACATTACGCACCTCTGTGGCAAAGATACCCCGGATAGCCAGAACAGGGGCTGAGGAGATTCGGATGTCTGATTTACAGCGGCGAATTCGTCCCTCGTCTCCCTCCCTTGTCTATAGCCCTGGATACGCCCCTGCCTCTACACCCAGGACGATTTTCACTGCCGCCATTTTGAATGGCGGAAATCGCGAAACCAAGGGCGCTGCCGCGTTTGAAGTTTAATTAGATCTTGATCTACGCCAATTTAAACCCTCTTTTCGTGGACAGTGTAATTACTTGGCGCTTTTTGAGAAGACTTGGGGTGGGGTGGATTTGGGTAAGGGGTTGGGTGGAAAAGTGGGTATACTGATAGGTCAACTTGCGAGATGGGTTTGGTAGTTTGCTGAGGGAGGTACAAACGCGTGCGATTGTGTGTACATTTGTTTGTGAGGATAGCGGTAGTAGATAGCTTTTGTATAGCGCAAATTTCTCCTAAAAAGCAAACTCTATGCGCTTACAATCTATATTATTTCCCCAGTAAAGAGGATAACCATCTGAAACAAACTCAACTTCCTGGGAAGCCTGCAGTGCCTGCTGCCATTTTAAAGGCGAAAAAACACTAACAAACTGAAAAGATCTTTCACTGCCGATGGCCGGGTAATCATTTGGTAAAGTGAGCAAAATTCATGTAAAGTGTCTTTCCCAGGGAA